TGCTGATGCTGATGATGATGCTGATGATGATGATGATGATGACGCTAACGATGATGATGATGCTGACGATGCTGATGATGCAGATGATAATACGACGATGCTGATGATGATGACGGTGATGATGCTGGTGATGATGATGCTAAGGATGATGCTGCTGCTGCTGATGACGCCGATGATCAAGAGGATGCCGATGATGATGCTGATACTGATCATGATGATGATGATAAGGGAGATGACGAGGGCGATGATGGCGATGCTGATGATGCTGCTGACGATGCTGATGTTGGTGACGGTGATGCTGCTTCTGATGCTGATGATGCTGATTATGATGATGATGCTGACGGTGATGATGATGTTGTTGATGATGATCCCGCTGATGAAGTTGATGGTGATGGTGTTGGTGGTGGCGATGATGGTGATGCTAATGCTGATTACGCCGATTATGATGCTGACGGTGATGATGACGATGCTGCTGATGATGACTATGCTGATTACGATGAGGAACGCGATGATGATGCTGATGATGATGCTGATGATAATGATGGTGGTGGTGGTGATGACTATGCTGTGTTGATGCTGCTGGTGATGATGGTGATTATGGCGATTATGGCTACGGTAGTGGTGGTGGTGATGTTGGTGATTGTGGTGATGGTGATGGTGATGTATATGATGCTGATGATGCTGATGATGCTGATGATGCTGATGATCAGGATGATCAGGATGATGATGAGGAGGAGGAGGAGGAGCAGGAGGAGGAGGAGGTGGAGTTGAAGGTGAAGGATGAGGAGGAGGTAGTGCAGGAGCGGGAGGAGGAGGAGGAGGAGGAGGTGGAAGTGGTGGAGAAGGAGGGGGGAGGGGGAGGAGGAAGAGTAGGAGGAGGAGGAGGATGAGAGATGAGAGAGGCTTGAAGATGAGAGAAGATTGAGGAAGGAGGTGGAGGAAGGAGGAGGAGGAGGTGGAGGAGGAGGAAGGAAGGACGTTTTGAGTTAGAATGAAGCTTACGCGATTCCATGCTTGTCTGATCGCAAACGAGGCGCAGACGCGCGGCAAATTCACTGCGAGTCAACTGAAAAATTGGGTGACGGTCACTCTTGCTGGGATTTGGGGGTAAACAGCATCAAGGTGCCTGACAAGAAAGCTACTGCGGAGGAGGAGCCGAAGGATGTGGAGGAGGAGGACGACGAGGAGGAGGAGGAGGGTAAACTTCAAAAGGACAAGGGAAGTTGAGTCTTGCCAGTTACGACTGTGCCCCGTTGAATTGCTCCAGGACTCCGAACTCCTCATCGGAATGTTAGGCATATTGCAGCACACGGGGCAGCGTCCCAATCACAGCAGGGGCTGTAGAGGTTGCCTCCCATAGTAGCAGGCGAAGAGACGAGGACAGGAACGGGAAGGGTAGCCCAAATTGCTGGACGGCCCTTGATGGGACCGCGAGCTGCTGGGCAGCTCTGGTGTCGCTTAGAGGCTGGATGGGCATGGGTATGGGCCTCTTTGGTCCCCACCCTGGGGGAACGAGAAAGAGCGCGAAGGAGGGGGGGGGGTCAGGATTAAATGAGCCGAGCCGCTTGCAAGTGAGGCTGGTTGGGCACCTCATGCCAAACGGAAGAAGAGACGCACCATTTTCAAGGGAGGCTGGTCGGGGACGTCCTGAGACGATGCAGTGAATCAGTAATGAACGCACGTGCTTCTTCCCTTCGGCGCTGACTGTGAGATTTCTGCCACACCGGACCGTAGGAATAGGGACGAGGGAGGAGGAGGAGGAGGAAGGAGAAGGGACGAGGGAGAAGGAGGAGGATGGTGGAGGAGGAACGAGGGCGAGTAGGAGGAGGCAAGGGGTAGGAGGGAGGAGGAGGGTGGGGGAGTGAGGGAGGAGGAGGAGGAGGAGGAGGAGGAGGAGGAGGGAGGGAGGGAGGGAGGGAGGGAGGGAGGGAGGGAAGGAGGGAGAGAGGGAGGGAGGGAGAGAGGGGGGGAGGGAGGGGCGGAGGACAAGCTAGGTGCGCTCGCGTCATATCTGACGTCCTACTCCTCCCTCCCATCCCCTTATCATGGCGTAGATGTCCTTTCAGTTCGCGTAGTGGGATGTCGTAGCAGGGTGTCGCATTTCATGGTGTAGCATGGTGTTGAAGATCATCGCGTAGCCTGACGCCCCAAAATCGGGGGGGGCTTCCCAAAAAATCAACGAATCGGCACCGAATGTGTAATCGCTTCCGAGGGTTGCTTTGGGGGGCCATTTTGTAGTTTTGGGGTCGTATTTGGAAGGGCCGAAAACCATGCCGTGGCATGGCGCTGGAAATAATGACGCCAGAGCTGCAGCGGGACCACGATTCGGAACGAGCGGAAGCGCGGAAATAAGGCCAGCGTTGCAGCGGGAACACGATTCGGAATGAGCGGAAGCGCGGAAATAAAGCCAGCGTTGCAGCGGGAGCACGATTCGGAACGAGCGGAAGCCCGACAATGACGCCAGCGCCTCCGCGAGAGCAGCATTTTGAAACAAAATACA